TAGGTTCTGGGATATTAGCCCTTTGTCAGGATGAAGGATTACCCAAGAAATGTTTCTCCCATTCTGTAGGTTGCCTGTTCACTCTGATAGTAGTTTCTTTTGCTGGAGGGCAGAAGCTGCTTTAGCTTAATTGATCCCACTTTGTCAATTTTGGCTTTTGTTGCCATTGCTTTTGGTGTTTTAGACATGAAGTCCGTGTGCCCATGCCTATGTACTGAGTTGGTAGTTACCCTAAGTTTTCTTCTAGGGTTCTTATGGTATTAGGGTTAACAGTTTAAGTCTCTAATCCATCTGAATTAATTCATATAAGGGTAAGGAAAGATCCAGTTTTCAGCTCTTCGTTACTTTATGGCTAGCCAATTTCCACACCATTTATAAATAGGGAATCCCTTTCCCCATTTCTTGTTTCTCTCAGGTTTGTCAAAGATCAGATGGGGCTGTAGCCATGTGTGGTATTATTTCTGAGGACGGCTGTTCTGGTTCCTCGGGTCTGTATCCTCTGTTTTGGTACCAGTACATGCTGTTTTGGCTATGGTAGCCTTGTAGTATAGTTTGAAGTCAGGTAGCGTGATGCCTCCAGCTTTGTTCTTTTGACTTAGGATTGTCTTGGCAATGCGGGCTCTTTTTTGGTTCCATATGAACTTTAAAGTGTTTTAATTTCATGGGTACATGTACAGGATGTGCATGTTTGTTACACAGGTAAACATGCACCATGGTGGTTTGCTGTACAGATCACTCCATCACCTGGGTATTAAGCCCAGTATCCACTGGCTATTCTTCCTGGTGGTCTCCCTCCTTCTCCCTACCCTCCAACAGGCCCCAGTGTGTGTTGTTCTCCCCCGTGTGTCCATGAGTTCTCATCATTCAGCTCCCACTTATAAGTGAAAACATGCGGTATTTGGTTTTCTGTTCCTATGTTAGTTTGCTAAGGATAATGGCCTCCAGCTCCATCCATGTCCCTGCAAAGGACATGATCTCATCCCTTTTTATGACTGCATAGTATTCCATGGTGTATATGTACCACATTTTCTTTATCCAGTCGATCACTGATGGGCATTTAGGTTGATTCCATGTCTTTGCTATTGTGAATAGTGCTGCAATGAACATATGTATGCATGTATCTTTAAATAGACTGTATAATCAATATCTTTTCTCAGTATTGTTATAACTTTGCTCAAAGAATAATTTTCAGACTGCTTCATTTGATAGAGAAAATGTTAAACTATTTTTAGGATTATCACTATCCAGAGGAAAAGGCTCTTTTTTTTTTTTTTTTTTTTTTTTTTTTTTTTTTTTTTTTTTTAATGGGACAGTGTTTCACTCTTGTTCCCCAGCTAGAGTGCAATGGCATGATCTCGGCTCACTGCAACCTCCACCTCTCAGGTTCAAGCGATTCTCCTGCCTCAGCCTCCCAAGTAGCTGGGATTACAGGCACGTGCCACCATGCCCAGCTAATTTTTTTGTATTTTTAGTAGAAATGGGGTTTCACCATGTTAGCCAGGCTGGTCTCAAACTCCTGACCTCAGGTAATCTGCCCACCTCAGCCTCCCAAAATGCTGGGATTACAGGCATGAGCCACTGTGCCCTGTCTGGAAAGGCTATCTTTTAAATGCAGACAGATAATAGGACTATCACCCTAATAAAGAAGATTGTGACTACGATTAAAAACTTGGCAGTTTCTGTTCTCAATAAATCCTAGGGAAGCAGGAACAAGTCTTCCATCTGGAACCATCCCAATCCTCAGCATACCCATTTGAAATTCTGGATGTTTTATGTGGTTTCCTAGAAGAATGAGAACAAAGAAAGGCATGGGATAAAGGTGATGGCAGACATGGAAAACAGAAGGAAAAGGAGTGTCTTAGTTCGGACTGCTATAACAAATTATCACAAATGGGGTAGCTTATAAACAACAGAAATTTCTCACAGTTCTGAAGGGCTGGAAAGTCCAAGAGCAAGGTGCGAGCAGATTCCACGTCTGGTGAAGGCTGACTTTCCGACTCATAGACAGTTGTCTTTTCACTACCTCCTCATGTGGTGAAAAGAGCAAACAAATTCCCTTTGGTCTTTTTCATAAGGGCACTAATCCCATTCATGAAGGCTCCACCCTCATGACTTAAACACCTCCCAAGAGGCCCCACCTCCCAATGTGTCTGGAATTGGTGGGTTCTTGGTCTCACTGACGTCAAGAATGAAGCTGCGGACCCTCGTGGTGAGTGTTACAGTTCTTAAAGATGGGGTGTCCGGAGTTTGTTCCTTCAGACGTTCAGATGTGTCTGGAGCTTCTTCCTTCTGGTGGGTTCGTGGTCTTGCTGTCAGGAGCGAAGCTGCAGACCTTTGTGGTGTTATAGCTCTTAAAGGTAGCACGTCTGGAGCTGTTCATTCTTCCAGGTGGGTTCGTGGTCTCACTGTCTTCAGGAGTGAAGCTACAGACCTTCACCATGACTGTTACAGCTCATAAAGGCAGCGTGGACCCAAAGAGTGAGCAGCAGCAAGATTCATTGCAAAGAGCGAAAGAACCAAGCCTCCACACTGCGGAAAGTGACCTGACCGGGTTGCCACTGCTGGCTCAGGCAGCCTGCTTTTATTCCCTTATCTGGCTCCACCCACATCCTGCTGATTGGTCCATTTTACAGAGAGCTGACTGGTCCAATTTGAGAGTGCTCATTGGTACGTTTACAATCCTTGAGCTAGACATGGAGTCACAGAGTGCTAGTCCTCCAAGTCTCCACTAGGTTAGCTACATACAGAGTACTGATTGGTGTATTCACAACCCTGAGCTAGACACAGAGTGCTGATTGGTGTATTTACAAACCCGGAGCTAGACACAAAGTGCTGATTGGTGCATTTACAATCCTTGCGCTAGACAGGGAGTCACAGAGTGCTAGTCCTCCAAGTCTCCACTAGGTTAGCTAGATATAGAGTACCGATTGGTGTATTCACAAACCCTGAGCTAGACACAGAGTGCTGACTGGTATATTTACAATCCTGCAGCTAGATATAAAAGTTCTCCAAGTTCCCATCCAGTTGAGGAGCCCAGCTGGCCTCACCCAGTGGATCCTGCACCAGGGCTGCAGGCGGAGCTGCCCGCCAGTCCTGAGCTGCGCCTGCACTCTTCAGCCCTTGGGCTGTCCATGCGACCGGGGCCCCACGGAGCAGTGGGTGGCACCTGCGGGGAGGCTCAAGGCAGCAGCGCGGGAACCCACCGCAGGGGGAGGAGCTCAGATATGGCGGGCTGCAGGTCCCGACCCTGCCCCACTGGGGGGCAGCCAAACCCCGCGGGAATTTGTGTGCAGCGCCGGCAGGCCGGCACTGCTGGGGGACCTGGCGCAGCTGCTGGCCAGGGTGCTAAGCCCCTCACTGCCCTGGGCCGGCGGTGCCAGCTGGCCGCTCCGTGTGTGGGGCCCGCCGAGCCCGCGCCCGCACCCGCCGGAACTCACGCTGGCCCGGGAGCCCAGCGCCCAGCCCTGGTTCCCGCCCCCGCCTCTCCCTCCACACCTCTCGGCATGCAGAGGGAGGGGCCTCCGGCCTCAGCCAGCCCAGAGAGGGGCTCCCACGGTGTCCTGGCAGGCTGAAGGGCCCCTCAAGTGCCTCCAGAGTGGATGCTGAGGCCGAGGAGACGCTGAGAGTGAGGGCTGCTAGCACTTTGACATCTAACACTAATACTATCACTTTGGGGGTTAAGATTTTAAGATACGAATTTTGGGAGGACACAAACATTCACACCCCAGCAGGGAGAAAGATGAGGCAGAAATTATCAAGATGCACTCCTACTAGCCTTCTCTCTCACACTAAGTAGAGACACCCTAGAAGAGGCCACTCCCTGTTCTTAGACTTCCTGTTATCTCCTCCCCGCTTCAATCCCCCACCTAAGTCCACTAACAATCATAAATTATCAACATGGTTTACTTAGTATTGTCTTCAAGTCTCTGTGAAGCTTGGGACTACATTCTCAGTATCAATTTATTCTGTGTTTTTGTTTTTATTTTCATATTTCTAGGTGGCATTGACAACTAACTTCAGTTTTAAAAATTGAAAAGATTCTCTTCGCTGGTGAGTGACTGAATGAGGAACAAAATGATTGCTTAGCTAACAAGATACCTTCCTTTGCACAAGAAACCAATTATTTACAAATAGTTCATAAATAACAATTGGCAAATTGTAAACTAATTATTTACAATTTACAACTGGGCATGTACATTTCTCTGGGTGAGGTTGAATTTAAATGTACTAATTAATATCATTATTTTTTAAACTCTACAATAACTCCTTTTAGAAAAAGAAATATTTCTAAAATATTGCTACTTATTTTCTATGTTATGTTTCATTAAATCTTAGTCACATGTATTTCCTTAAAGAAGGGAACTCCTATAATCAGCAGTTGAAACGAGGTCATTGTGCCCATTGTTAAGCCATTTTCCTTGTCTAAGATACTATTCCACTTCATTCAAGAGCAGCTCTAATCAACAGGACTTTCTGCAATAATGGAATAGCAATAATTGCTGTCCAATATAGTAGACATTAGGCCTGTGGCTTTTAAGCACTAGAAGTGTAGCTAGTGTGACTGAGAAATTGATTTTGAAGTTTTATTTAATTTTATTAATTTAAATTTAAGTAGCACATGGACTGGTGGCTATCACACTAGACAGCCCAGTTCTGGATTCCCAAGGATTCTTGGGTGAAAAGGAGGACATAGGAGAAGGCAACTTCTTTAATCTGTCTTGGTTCCTTCTTGATGTAAAACACAATGTCCATAATATAGCATGTCTCAAATTACTTAGTCTAGAATGGCAATCAAGCAATCCCTGATTACTTTATATAACTGTAACCCTCTACACCCCATCACTGTTCATCCTGTGTACCTGCTTTATATCCATCTGATAAAAAAAAATTCTAATTATTTGTTTACTGCCTATCTTCTCCCAATTGAACATAAGCTCCATGAAGACAGGCATTTTTGTCTACTTTGTTCAGTTATGCATATGTACACACACATACATACATACATCATGCCAGACCCCTATTAACATCAGTAGGGATGGGAGTAGGTTTATGATGACAAAGAAGAAACTCAGAGCCAGAAAACAAGACATAGGGGTTTGGAGGTTGGTTTTTGTGTGTTTGTTTGTCTGTTTGTTTTTCTGTTCCCAGAGACATAGGGTTTTATTAGCGGGAAACGTACATACTGGGATGACCCAGTAGTGGCAGGCTGGCCAGAGAAAAACATGCAGTTTATATAGCATTTTCACTTAGCACTCTCCCCATAACAGCCTCTACCTGGCAATCTTCATTTAACCCAAAACAAATGGCCTCATTGCCCTGTATTGCCCATGTTCCACAGGACAGGTCAGGGATTTAGATGCTCCTCATAGACAAGGAATGAATTTTCAGATTGGCCATTCCTGGATTCCTTAGCTCAGAACTCCAAACACATATTCAGGTGCATCTGCCATACATGGCATTCTCAGGGTGTGTTTAAGTTATCACTATCAGGTGCATCTACCATACAGCATACACATAACAAATGTATGGCCATGCCCAGTGAGCCTACATCCCTGTTGTATGACTATTGATCCAGCTGCCTCAGTAAAGGATAGTCTATACCATCAGCAAATTACGACAGGATGATTGAGTGGATCTATCATGTTTTTAGGGCCTCTAGGCCTCAGGAAAGGATTCTTTAATTTGGACTTTGGGAAATAAAGAATTAATAGAACCAAAAAAACCCCACTACAGTTGCTCTCTGAGGCTTACTAAACAGCTACTATAGACACATTACATGGACACGTACAGTCTACTATAGAGCAATTTATATTCTGCATCAAACATCTATGGCTTAATTTAATCATCAATTCTTTCTCCCTGAGGTAAAGGGGTCCCAAGAGGGCTATGCATTAGAATCCACTGTGGAGTTTCCAAAATGTCTAGATCTCCAGAATTTCCAGAGGTGAGGCCCAGACATGCAGAGCTCTGTGAAGCCAGAATGAAAACCCCTTCCCTAAATGAAAAAAATTTTTCTCAAATGGCAAATGTGGGTCCTGTACTTGGTGTCCTTTTTTTACAACCACGAACTATTTCCCCATCATCTGAGGTATTCTCTGACCCCCATTGCCTCTGTGCCCAAATACCATGACATGAATTTTCTGGATTTGAGCAATGGCATCCCACTTACCCTGTGCCAGATTGGCTTTTCCTCATATTTCCTTATGTGTGATGCCTTCCACACCTATGCTCGGGCAAGTGTTTCCCTTTGCCACCTGCCTTTCTGTGATAGTTCTGGAGTTTTTTCTTCACATCAGTGGTTGTATTAGTCCATTTTCATATTGCTATAAATAGCTACCTGAGGCTGGGCAATTTATGAAGAAAAGAAGTTTAATTGACTCACAGTTCCACAGGCTTAACAGGAAGCATGACTGGGAGGCCTCAGGAAACTTGGAATCATGGCATAAGGTGAAGCGGAAGCAAGGACTTTCTTCACATGGTGGCAGGAGAGAAAGAGAGAGAAAGGAGAAGTTACACACTTGTAAATATCAGATCTCACGAGAGAGCTCACTCACTATGATAAGAGCAAGGGGGAGATCAGCCCCCATGATCCAATCACCGACCACCAGGCCCCTTCTCCAATTCCACATGAGATTTGGGCAGGGACACAAATTCAAACTGTATCAGCAGTTCAAAAATATAAGTGTGTAAGAACTACCTGGGGAGTTTGTTGTGCCAGTTTCCTGGAGCCTATGCCCAGAGATTCTGGGTTACCAGAATGGGATAGAACCCATGACTTTGCCTTTTTTTTTTTTTTTTGAGATAGAGTCTCACTCTGTCATCAGGGCTAGAGTGCAGTGGCATGATCTCGGCTCACTGCAACCTCTGCCTACTGGGTTCAAGTGATTCTCCTGCCGCAGCCTCCCGAGTAGCTGGGATTACAGGCGCATGCTACCATGCCTGACTATTTTTGTATTTTTAGTAGAGAAGGGTTTTGCCATCTTGGCCAGGCTGGTCTTGAACTCCTGACCTCAGGTGATCTGCCCACCTTGGACCCCCAAAGTGCTGAGATTATAGGTATAAGTCACCGTGCCCAGCCCTGACTTTGCATTTCTAACAAGCTCACAGGTGTTAAAGGAAACCAAATATGGCCTGAGAAGGACTTGTATATTTGGCTTCTTGTGGATAACTATAACCTAGCTTAATAGACAAAATTGAAAACCTAACTTAGGAGTAAGTTAACTTAACCATCAATTATTTCTCCCTAAGGCAAAGGGGTCCCACTATGGCTATGCATTAGAACCCACTGTAGAGCTTCCAAAAGACCTAGATCTGCAGAATTTCCAGGGGTGAGGCCTAGTCATGCAGAGTTCTGTGAAGCCAGAAATGAAAACCCCTGCCCTAAATGAAAAACTTTTTCAATGCACCTATAACAATAACTGAGTCCTGGCCAACTCCAGTGGCCATACTTCAACCACTCATAGACTGCTGAGTGTTCAAACTGTGTTCAAATAAGGCAAACACCACCCTGTAACCAATCCAGCTGTTTCTGTACCTCACTGCCAATTTCTGTATGTCAATTCCTTTTTGTTTTTTTGTCTGTAAGTCTTCTTCCACCACATGGCTGCACTGGAGTCTCTGCGAATCTGCTGTGATTCTGGGGGCTGCCCGATTCATGAATAGTTCATTGCTCAATTAAACTCCTTTAAATTTAATTCAGCTGAAGTTTTTCTTTTATCACAGGTGAAACCCACACTTTGAGAACCACTGTTCTTAGGCGGTGCCCAGCCCAATTTGATGTAGATACAAATCACCTGGGGATCTTGTTAACGTACAGGTTCTGATTCAGTACATCTGGAATGGGGCTTGAAATTCTGTATATTGAATTAAGGCTCAGGTAATGTTTGATACTGCTGGTCTGAAGAACATCTTTTGAGTATCCAGGATTCCAGGGGTTTCACCCATGGTCACTTGGCAGCATGGTGAATAGAACTGGTCACATTTTCTTTCTGCTCTGTCAATGTTGGGGGTTGAATTCTATCCCCAAAAAAGATATGTTAACGTCCTAACCCCGAGTACCTTATTTAGAAAAAAGGTATTTGCAAATATAATCAAGTTAAAATGAAGTCATGCTGGATTAGAGTATACCCTAGTCCAATGACTGAGGTTCTTATAAAAAAACGGAAATTTGGATGCAGACACACAGAGGAGAATGCCATGTGAAGACAGAGGCAGAAATTGGAATGAAGCGTGTATAAATGAAGTGACACCAAGGGCTGCCATGAGCCATTAGAAGCTAGGCAGAAGCAAGGAAGATCACCTGGCAGACTGTGGCTCTGCCAACACCTTGATTTGGGACTTCTGGCCTCTGGAACTGGAAGACAAAGAAATTCTGTTGTTTTAACACCCAGCTCCCTAGGAAACAAATATAGTCACATAGCTCAGCGACCACATACTGACCCAACTCACCTCAGGACCAGCAGTGGGCTTGCATGGATCATGACATTCTCCCACAGTCCCATAGTCTTCCATATTCCCACAGTCAGGTTTTCTTTAATTTGCTGATCTTTCTCACTGCACTGCGAAAGAAGACACATCTTCTTGACCTTGTTTTGAATGAAGAGAAAAAGAGAGTTTCTAAGAAAAGCCCACCTACTGAGAGATGGTACTCCTGGCAGCAATCAATTTTTTTTAATGTGTGATCTTTTAGTGTTTCCACCTTTCAAATGTTTTCTTTGCTAGAGGCTTTCAGAAACATCTCATAGAGTTTTCAAAATCTTCAAAAGCTTTTGTTTCTCAGTAAGTTTAATAAAAAATATATGCCATATGTAATTTATAAGATTTAAGAATTAGGCTGTAATAAAACACAGTAGTAAAGTGACAATAATTTGATTTTTTTCAATGTTGTTTCAGAAAGTATTTTCAAATTCTACCTATGGTAACTGAGGATACATACCCTAGAAATTAATTTTCACAAAAATATAAATGCATCCATAGCAACAGTCAGAAATTCATAGTTAAATATTGCATAGCAAAGAATGCACAGTATTTAAGAAGTTTTTCCTGTATAACTAAGAGAGCTAATCAAAATCCAGGGGCATGTGCTTAAATATATTATGTGAGTGCAAAAGTAGTTGCCGTTTCTGCATTGTTGGAATTTGCCATTTGATATAGGAATACATTCTTAAATAAATGTGGTTATTTTATACATCATTTTAATGAGCATTTCTCACTCTAAGTTTTTTGCTAATAACTTATTACTCATTGTTTATTTCCTGTTTATTTTAGACTATGAAAATGATGTTGGACAAAAAACAAGTTCAAGCAATTTTCTTATTCAAGTACAAAATGAGTCGTAAAGCAGTGGTGTTCGCAACATCGCAACCAGGAACTGCTAATGAATGTAGTGCAGTGATGGTTCAAGAAGTTTTGCAAAAGAGAGGAGAACCTTGAAGGTGAGGAGCGTAGTGGCCAGTCATCGGAAGTTGACGACAAATTGAGAGCACTCATTGAAGCTGATCCTCTTACAACTACACAGAAAGTTGCCGAAGAACTCAATGTCAGCCATTCTACAGTCATTTGCCATCTGAAGCAAACCGGAAAGGTGACAAAGTTCAATAAGTGGGTGCCTCATGAGCTGACCAAAAATTTTTAAAAATCATCATTTTGAAGTGTCATCTTCTTATTCTATGCAACAACAATGAACCATTTCTCAACTGGATTGTGACATGCGATGAAAAGTGGGTTGTATATGACAACTAGCAACAAACAAGATCAGTGGCTGACCCAGAAGAAGCTTCAAAGCACTTCCCAAAGCCAAACTTCCACCAAAGAAAGTCGCTGTTTGGTGGTCTGCTGCCCATCTGATCCACTACAGCTTTCTGAATCCCAGTGAAACCATTACATCTGAGAAGTATGCTCAGCAAATCAGTGAGATGCACCAAAAACTTAGTACCTGCAGCCGGCACTGGTCAACAGAAAGGGCCCAATTCTTCACAACAACACGTGAACACATATCCCACAAGCAATGCTTCAAAAGTTGAGTGAACTGGACTAAGAAGTTTTGCCTCATCCGCCATATTCACCTGACCTCTTGCCAACTGACTACCATTTCTTCGAGCATCTCAACAACTTTTTGTAGACAAAACGCTTCCACAAGCAACAGGATGCAGAAAATGCTTTCCAAGAGTTTGCCAAATCCTGAAGCACGGATTTTTAAGCTACATGAATAAACTTATTTTTCACTGGCAAAAATGTGTTGATTGTAATGGTTCCTATTTTGATTAATAAAGATGTGTTTGAGCCTAGTTATAATGATTTCAAATTCATGGTCCAACTGCGATTACTTTTATACCAACCTAATACTTAAGTTCCTTAGTTTTGAATCCAGTGATTGATAACTACAACAAGGAGAGGCAGTGTGAAAAGGAATGAGTACATGACTTGGGTCAGAAAATCTGGCTTGCAGTATGTACCAGGTGTGGACAGCTATATGTTATATGACTAGACAGTCAATCCCTGTGAGGCTCCAGTTTCCTTAAGTCTGAAACTAGACTAATAATATTTACCTTTCCTACTCATTAGAAAGATCAAGTGAGACACAGCATATAAAAGTACTTGGGACAATGTTAAATAAAATGTGAAATCTACTACCAAAATACATTTTAATTAAATCTTCTACCAAAAAGTACATTTAAAGATAATTCAAGAAACTATTATCGCATTATTTGCCACTTAAATATTTTAAACCATAACAAAGCCTAACCAACTGCAACATATTTATTTAAGTAGCAAGTTACTGGTTTATTAAGGACAATTTTGTTCTACCGTAACTACTATGAGGATGAGGTGATACCTGTTTCATTAAGAAAAAGTTAACATGTCAATTTCTATTGATTAGCAGCAAAAATATTTTAGCATCAAAGTGAGTGTGCCATCCTTGCAGATTATATAGTTTAATAAATAATTTATTAAATTTTAGCTACAATGAGCCAAGCACTGTGCTACCACCACACACACACACACACACACACACACACACACACACAGTGATGGGTGATTTGGGGTGTCAACTTGACTTAATTAAGGGATATCCGGATAGCTGGTAAAGGATTATTTACTCTCAATCATTGCATTAATCACCCTCAATGCTTCAGCAAGCACTTCTGTTGAAAAGGGAACCAGGTGGTTTGGCATTTGATTAGAATGATTGGGCTGCCCCAGGTGTGTCTGTGAGTGTGTTTTTCAGAGGAGACTGCTGTGTGAGTCTGCAGACAGTGGGAAAGATCTGCCTTCAACGTAGACAGACACCATCCAATCAGCTGGGGCCCCAGATGGAACAAAAGGGTGGAGGAAGGGCAAATTCTTGTTCTCTCTTCCAGAGCTGGGACACCTTTTTTCTCCTGCTGTTGGAAATCGGAACTCCAGGTTCTCCAGCTTTTGGACTCTGGGACTCACACCAGCAGTCTCCCAGCCCCGCAGCTCTCTGGCCTCAGATTGAGAGTTGCATCATTGACTTGCCTGGCTCTGAGGTTCAGACTTGGAAGAACCACACCCTTGGCTTCCCTGGTTCTCCAGCCTACAGAGAGCCTATCACCAGACTTCTCAGACTCCATAATTAAGTGAGAATTTCCCCTAATAAGCCCCTTCCCATATATTTCTCTACATGTCCTATTGTTTCCTGGAAGAACTGTAATACACCAAACAAAATATGACTTCTTCCCCACCACAATGCTGTGAAGTTAGAACAAATACTTCACAGACAACTAGACTAGGGCTTAAAGGGATGAATGAGTACCTCACTCAAGGCCTCTTAGGCACTAACTCTAACTTGATCATTATATTCATATTGTTTTTAAAAAGACTTTAACATTTTTGACAATAAATCATTATGGCTTAGTTATCATCTTAAAGATTTTTCTCTTCAGTTTATCACCCATCAATGTTATCTTCTTCTAAATTATACTCTAACACCTGTGAGGACTGCATCCTCAAGATCTCTACAACACCCCAACACTGGTGTTGTGTATATTTTCCCATATACATATAAAGGGCAGGTCCATCCAGCACTACCAAGCCCATTTAGAGGCCTGTACACTGAGCTCGGGAAGCTAGGCTTACACAGCCCTGCACTCAGCCTCCCAGCCTGTGTGTACAACTCAAGTTTGTGCCTTGATGAAATCACGAACATCTTGAAGGTATCTCTCAAATCAAAGCCAAACAAGCTAAATGCCTAATCACCAAAGATCTTCAACACAGTATGCTTCTAGGTGAGCTAACAATTTTCCTATTAGAAAATTTCTGATGTTCAAAGAAACTCTTGAAGACATAAGGAACCTTAGTTCAGGAAGAGCAGAGCCAAGAAGGTGAGGACACATCCCTCTCCTGTGCATTCCTTGGCATCCTTCCCTCACCCTCTCTCATGATAATATCCTGTCTTTATTTCGTAAGCAAATTTAATCACTTATTCTCCACAGCATTCTTTTGCTGGGTCTTCAAACATGCATAGCTTCCCAAGTGTGGAGAACAACTTTGATAGTAATATCCACCATTTTCCTGGAATAGGATTCTTTACCATCCCCAAGGAGTCGTTATGGGGTTACCTGACAGCATTCTGAATAGTAGCTGTTTCAAACAACATTAAACCCCAGTTCATGAGTAGCTGCTCCACACCTAGTATCGTGCTGGGTGGGGGTGAGGATGCAAAGGTTCCCGTACTCAGAAAGCTGGAAGGGTGATAAGGAGGCACACATACAATCAGTACAGGTTATGGCAAATGGAAAGCCTGAGATGAAAATGAGGACCTAAGAGGGAGAAGCAGATAGGGTAGCGGACAGCAGTAGAGCACTGAGGGTTCAAAAGCAGGAAGTGGTTAACAACTGGCAGAAAAGCCAGGAAGATGAGGTCTGAAAAGCATGCCATGCTTGGCTGTAAACGGAAAGAGAGAGATAAGGCAACAGCTGGAGCAGAAGGCACAGATAAGGGAAAGAGCCTTTAGTTGCATCTTAACCTGCCTTAAGGATGATAGATTCAATTGCTTTAATATGAAGATCTTCTGCTATGGCTGACAGCTGCCCCGGAAAATGAAGTGGTGACGGATGGGTATCTGAATAGCTTCAGATGTAATTAAGTTGCGGGGGGAACATCCTATGGGACGCAGACTGGAATTTTAGATTAGTGTAAAGACAAGCCAAACATTCTGTTTAGTTAATACTGCCTTCTAAAGTTCTGAAGCAAATTTTAGTTCAGCATTTGTAAAACAGTACATATGTGAAAACACTGTTCAATCATTTGAGTAAGCCTGAGTTAAAATACTAGCTTTACCATTTGCTAGCCGTGCTAACCCTGGGTAACTCAAATTGTCTGTGTTCCAGTTTCCTCATCTATAAAATGGAAACAATAAATAGTACTCCCATTGCAGCTTTGCCGGAGGAACAAATTAGTTAATCCACATAAAGTGTTCAGAATAGTGACTAGCAAGAGTCAACCCTCAATCTATTTAGCTGTAACTGGCATTATAATGATTACCATTTGCTCTTGATCAGTTTCTATCAAAGTCAGACTACTTACCTCATTTTACAGATGAGGCAAATTGGCTTCACATGAG